CCAGACCGCCATGTTTTTCTGTGTTCAACCGTCTGCGTGGTTAGAAAATTTCTTAGGTGTGCGGTGCGGAAAGTTTGGGCCGTGCGGAGGCCAGGTGGAGGGGCGTGGTTGTTAAAATGACGCAATTTTGCAGCGCAGAGCCGTGCGAACCTTGCAGACGCGTCAATCATAAACCAACCTTAAGTCTCCTCCTCTTGTGGTAAGCTCATTGATATCCTGGACAAAAAAAAGGTGTAAGTCAATGGGGCTATAAAAGTTATATTCTGGTCCACTTTGCCTCACGCCCTGGATTACACGTGTTGTACTTCAATTTAAATGATGAATAAAAGTGTTTCGACTATGTCTGTCACATCATTTGAGATTCATTAGCATGTGTTACGGCCACCAGCCTGGCCTCTTCAGGTGGAGGAGCAAGGATCACCCAGCGATCAGCCCGACACCGCCCCTCCTCCTCCTCTCTTCCAGGCTGCTGAGGAGCTGTTGCAACACATTCTCACACCCAAAGCGTCAAAATATGACGCGTGACCAAGCCTCAATATATGACGATTTGGGATGCCCCAGCGCGTCAGGAGACGACACGCAGGGACACATGGCATCGCCGGCGTCCATATTTGACGTCTGCGGTGACACGGACATTATTCCTCGATTTAACCTTCCCCTCACCCCAATCCTAACCTTAACTCAGTAACTCAGCTGAGTTAAGGCTAGAATGGGGGTAAGGGGAAGGTTAAGTAGTTCACAAGTCGGTCAAATGTCCCTCTCACCGCGGGTGTCGGATCCCGCCGCTCTGGGACAGTGCATCCTCAATTCGTCCTCTCCTGAGGCGCTGGGGCATCCCAAATCACCATATATTGAGGCTTGGTCACACGCGTCGTATTTTGACGCTTTGGGTGTGAGAATGTGTTGAAGGAGCACAGCTGAGCTGAATCCTTCTGACGACCCACACCTGGGATAAAAAGGCTGTGCCTTCAGCAGTCTGGGAGGCAGCAGTGCAGGGGTTCTGCTGTCCTCAGGCCTAAGTTTGTTTTCAACCCCTTCGATTAGATGAGTTTTAACTTTCATAGTCTTAACTCTGAGTAATCCAGAGGGATAGTTTAAAAGGTTAACTTGGTGATGCAATTTTATTGACTTTGGTTTTAAAACACCTTCTGTTCGGTAAAACTTTTAATAAAAGTTTTAACCAGGTGTTTTAACTGTTGGTCTTTTAATGTTAAGCTTTTTGAGGTTGTTTTTTGTGTTTTTTGGCATTATTTTAATAATGCTTACCATCTATTTGCACGCCTGTTTTTAAACCTTTTGACAATTAAACCCATTTTAAATCCACTGTCATGTTTCTTATGTTACCCCGTCCTTCGCATTTTATCACCTCCTGTCGGCGATGTAACAGCATGTAATTTGTAAAATTCGTAATTAAACAACTACAAATCAGAAGTCTCGTTATGTATATGACGTCATCACAGAATCTCTTCTCCCCGGCATAGCTGCCACTTTGCACATGACTAGATTTAAAGTGGTTTCGCCATGTTTATCGCTCCTTCTTTCACACTGGAAGAAGGACGCGAAGCTCGCTAAACTGACATCTATTTTCATCTTCTTTTCATCTAGTCTGATGACCAGTTGTAGCATTTGTTGTCCACAACGTCTTTTCACGCAAAACCTAAAGTTCGGCCCATAGACTATTGATTTTATTTGGCAGTAGGGGACCCATGGTATAGAGGCAAATGGGCGCGACTTAAGCCTAATTTACACTTCTCCATCTGCGTCGGTACTGACACGCAACGCCATTATGCATCGACGCCAGAGCTCTCAACACGCTCACAGGGGCTGACATAGACATGCTCAAATTTTTAACCATCAGTCCAAAGTGAGACTGCAAGCTTGTTGGTCAGGACACCTGCTGACATTGCCCCCTCAGAAATTAGGATATTTAGAAGCAGGCACGGAACCGATTGAAGAACGCCTCGAGGAATACGTCCAACATATGAATGTTTATTCACCTGTGACTGGAGTAGTACTTCAGTCACTACTTCAGTAGTGAAGGAGTACAAAGACACACGGCAAGCATTTTATTTGTGAACGGAAAAGACAAATGTGGATTTAGACGTGCCGATCGCATGAAGAGGTGGGGGAGAATGAGGGACAAATTTGTCTGCGTTAAAAAGTTTCTGAAATAATTGGTAAATGCACTATCTTGAACCGAATACGTGACTGTAATGGTGGCAGGATTCTCCAGAAAAAAGCTACACCCTCAGCTGTCCTGGAGGATTAAAGGGAAAACATTTCTGTCAATGTGAGTGATTCCACACCCAAGCTGACAGAGAAGTATCAGGGTATCTGCAGGTTTAAGGGAGCCAAAATTAAGACTTTTTAAGACCTTTTTTAAGGCCACTTTGATGAAATTTAAGCAATTTTTTTAAATTTCATTTAAGCTATAATTTCCAGCTATTGCCTGGAACCGGTGCTAACCATGTTGCAAGCGTGGGATTAGCCACCCAGTTACCATTAAACTTGCACGTCCCCATGATGCAAGCTCCCACTAGCTTAACCAGCTAATGTGCTCATCTAAAAACAGCCCCCTTTCACAACCAACTGAATGTGTACAGTTCCGCTTACGCCAACATCATACACAAAAAATGCTGAACACTAACTAGAAATTCACAAAAATTTTATAGAAATAAAAATATCTTTATTGGGTCTTTGGTAATTTAAGACCTTTGGAAACCGTATTTAAGGATTATTTGTCATTTTTAAGGCCTTAAATTTGGAAAAGCAAATTTAAGACTTTTTAAGGGACCCGCGGATACCCTGAGTATAAATCAGGGTTTAGGCTCTCCGTGGTGCTAAGACCGCCCAACATCTCACTACAAACAGAGCACAAAGATTGGCCCGACACTTAGCCAAGCCATTGGTAGACCTGCTGAGGTTACAACGGAGCATAGCTAGACGAACCAGCAGAGAAAAATATTTTGCTACTAATAAAATTTGTCTAGATTTCTAGACTAACTTATCAACACTTTGATATTTAAACCTTGCATGATGAAATCCAACCAATCCCGGATAATAAAACAAACAATCGAACCTGAACCAAGGCTGCAGTTCCCTTTACTTTCCTTGTTTTGTTCTCTTCTGTAAGTTTCTATTATAAACAATGCTTTCAGACTAGGTTTTGTTGTGCCGGCGTGGTTTCTTTGCCTCACTGTCAGCTATACTGATAGTCTCTATTATTCATCACCTCTACTGCCAGCCTATTTTTACCCACTTTCGCAGTCAGTCTACCTTTATACTTGGCTGTCTGAATCCGTCAACACAAAACAGCATTTTCCACTTGCTGTCCTGGCTTGATTCGAAGTTCCTGACCAGAATCCTCCTCACTACAGGTACCAAAAACACTAAACAGCCACGGTTCTGTTCAATGACCAACTTAATTTACATTAAAACCGATGTTTTGCTACCACAGACGAACCACTAAGATGTGCTAACTTTGTTTATAGCAACATACTGTACTCTGATAAAGTTTGTGATTTTTGTATTTCACGTCTTCAAAGAAGAACTTACATGCAGTGCAAGTGTTTTTCATTTTTGCCCCATCATATTTATTCTAAGTCATCTTCAGAGGTAAACATTTTAAGTACAAATTGGAAATTCACAACTCTACAGCTTGCTTAGATTACTCCTTGGGGTATCAACTCCGCAGGGAAAAAAAACTCAATCTCTCATTTCTCCAGAAAGATCAGAGGCAGGTCAATTTATCTAAGGAAAATACTTGGAGGATGCAATTTTGAAAGTCATACGCCTGCTATTTGTTGGCAGTGATGAGTACATCGCTCGTGTATGTGTTGGGGCACAGCTGTTGAGTTTGCTGGATGGATGAGATTCCAAATCAAACTGTTATATTTCAGAAGGCTGACTCCTAACTGGTCTAAAATGTTAATACAACATAAAGTTTGCTTTGAGAAACTTATTAATGCAATATTTTATTTCTGCTTTCCCAGTTAAAATTAAAAACATACCAGGGTACGTAGGTATTCTGACTCTAGTATCAATCTAATTGGAAAAATAAATATTTTTTCCAATGAAGAAAGTGAATTAGTTAAAAGGATGAGTAAAAGTAACAGATTAGCTAGTTTCCTGCTGGTTCCATTAGCTGTGTAGCGTCGCCCTCATGAGGAAGGGAGCAGCTCACTCACGCACCTCAGTTTTCAATGGTCCCATTGATTTTTAAGCATTTAGTCAAACACAACTTAAAGAAAAATCTTTGCCAAGATTAAACATTTTAATAGCTTGCTGAAAACTATGAAGCTTCATTTAATTTCTTGTAAACAGGCTGGTTTCTAGGATGGGCAGTGGTATGATTAAAAATTTGTATTTACCTTAATATTCGTGGAAAACTAAAATCACATGCTGGCTATAATTTCCTGGCTCATACAGATCTTTGGTTCTGTGTAAACAAATACTAGTATTGCCACATTTATATTAAAATGTTATTCATGCAAGAGCAGGTTCGATTCTGTAATTTGGCAAATTTTTTGCATAATTAGCCAATTTTGTCAGAAATATTACTGAATAAATTTTTTGAACATTGCTAAACACAAGTATTTGCTTTGGTAGGACTTTGGATAGCTTAATATCTAAACTAAATTAGGACTCCTGCTCTGAGCTTTGAGGAATAATCCATCAAAATCTAATTTAACCCTTTGAATTATGAAATCTTCAACCATGATTTTTTGTTTCATCTTTAGGTGTGAATGAAACAAATTTCAGCAAATAGTAATATTGTTAATTTACAAATAATTTATTACATGTCCAACTCAGTGGACAGCGTGCATTCTGAACATAAAATATGTTGGCTTGGCTTACTGAAGTCCAAATGAGGGGCTCAATGCAATAAAATCTACAACAGCTGTGCTTAATAGCAAAAAATAAATAATTTTGAATATCTGTCCACTGTAGTGACCATTATGCAGCAAAGGGTTAAAAAAAAAAACACAAGACTATTTACATCATTTGAGGCATTTATGTTTTTTAATAACACATCTGGAAGTTTGTGCGCTACAAAGTCTTGAGTCCTAGTCAGTGGACATAAACCTACTCAAACAATTTAATTAGAAAGGAAACTGGGCAGAAAACAGGTTAACAGAACGCCACAAAGTACCGAACTGGACCGTTTCATTAAGTAGCCGTGTTGGTCTCTTGGGGAATATAGCTTATCCAGTGCTTTGACATTGCAGATTTACTGGGCGATGCCAATAACTCCACAGGCTAGACGAGCTCCAGCATTTCCAGTCTTCAGGCTTTCTTCGTTTCCTCCTTTTCCTAGATCGTCACGCTTCTCGTGGATCTAAAAATAAGTAGTTTTACATAAGCTACATTTTTATTGGGGACAAATTTAGACTAAAATCCTTAAAAAAAATAAAATTAAACAAAAAGGGAGGATCACAAGCCCAGATGAAGACGTACCACCATGGTTCGACCAATGATTGAGAGAGGTCCTGAGAGTTTGATGACGCTGTCTGTGATGTTTATCTTGGCAACATTCCCTTCAGCAGTCACATTCCCCAGGTCTCCAACATGTCTGATAAAAAAAATTGTATCAGATTATAATATATTACAGTCAAACTTTATAAAAACAAAAGCATATCAAATACAAATACGTGAATAGGTAAAAGTGATCCAGCTTCTCATGAGGGACTCGCCTTTCTTCATCTGCAGGACCGCCGTGATTCTTGTCAAAAGGATTGAAGTGAGGCCCCGCGCTAATGCAACCTGGTAATAAGTAAAGGTAAATATTACAACTCTGGGAAGCTTTTATGACAGCAAGCAAGTGCACCTAGATAGGAAATGTTAACAGTTAACTGAAAATTTGGGGGGAAATGTGGAAAAACATGCAATTTCTCACCATTTGTGTTATCCCCATATACATGGACGTGGAAACCATGTTCACCATCAGCAAGGCCACTGATTTCCCCAGTCACTTTAACAGGGGCCGATTCATTCTAGGGGACACAGGCGGTCATGATAATGTAAGTAAATATTATCACGCACGTATAACAGAAAAAAGTCAAAGAACTTTGCAGGCAGGAATAAAAATACTACAGAAAAGTTTAGATACGTCATGGTCAGACGGTAGAGAGTGACTCAGCAGAATTTTAGGGAGGAAATCGTGTTTGTTTTGACTTTAATGGCTGCCTCTGTGCAGCGATGTCTCCGAGCTGCTTTGTGATGACAAAAGAAGAAGAAGCTGCTAAAAACAGGAATTATGAGTGACTGTGGTGAGAGATCCCTCCTGGGGTCACTGAAGTCAACATTACCGTTGGTGAGACGACTGAAAATTACGCAACAAGCGTGTCCACTGTTAATTATTACCATTCTGCAGACTATAAAAGGTTAAAGGTTATATTTTAACTAAACATTTTTCCATTTCAACCACGACAGCCACGTCGTGCCAGCACGAGTAGAAATGTTTGAATTCAAAGTGTTATCTAGAACTTGCTGCACGCGCACCTAACATTTCTACGGTTCGTTGAGCAACTAGTTATCTAATTGCATATTAATTGTTTTATAAACTAAGAAAATCAGAGCAGATGTATCAAATATTCCACTATCTGAAAGTCTGAGGTGTAAATATGTCGCTAACTGCCAAGTTAGTCAAGAGCTCCTCTAAAAATGGATGACATACTTATGTTAGCTAGCTTAGCACAAGACAACTACGGCATCCGTATAGTGTTTAATTAAGTTGAATTTTATGTCCTCTTCGCGGACTACAACCTCGTTCACTTCGTGCATACTGTGACATCTTACCTCTTGCTCAAAGTGAACGGTCCCGGCTGTTTTGTCAGCTCCCTTCAACACACACACAGCTTTCACCACCATCTTTGCAGCAACTCACGAGTAACTATCGCGTCACGTGTCCCCTCGAGAGTCACATAAGAACGTCTCAAGTGGGCGGGTTAATTCAGTGATAGCCAATGAGAAAACGCGTGGTTTAATTGGCTGGCAGGAAGCACGCATATATGTCGATGATCAACACATTTGTCTGCGTTCATGTTTTGGCAGTTTCGTTCTTTAAATGTTATTTATTAATAAGCTTAGTTTATAGTTGATTAAATCTCGTATGATTGTAAAACATACAAAATAATTATAAATATTGAAATTACTCTTTTTTAGTGACTGCGATAGATAGATAGATAGTTAGATAGATAGATAGATAGATAGATAGATAGATAGATAGATAGATAGATAGATAGATAGATAGATAGATAGATAGATAGATAGATAGATAGATAGATAGATAGATAGATGGATAGATAGATATAGATTGATAATACCTTTATTAGTCCTACACTTGAGAAATTTCATCGTTGCAGCATCGACAGTACAGTCAGAAAAGCAGGTAAGATTAAAAAAAACATAATTTTATTTAAAAAAAACAGTAATATTAAAAAAAACTAACAAGAGAAAACCACAATCTTCCTCATTCAACAGCCAGCTGCAATGGCCTCATAAAATCTAACTGCTGCTGGGAGAAATGGTCTTCTGAACCTTTCCCTCAGCGGTGTGGATGCAGCAACCTGCTAGTGAAAGAGCTATTCAGTGCTGCCAGAGTCCAGTGCATGGGGTGGGAGATGTTATCCATCAGAGAAGATAGCTTGGCCACCATTCTCCGCTCAGTCACCACCTCCACTGGGTCCAGAGGGGCTCCAAGAACGGAACTGGCCCTCTGGACTAAGCGAGTCTTGATTAATTTGTACCGTATTTTTAAAGTTATTTGAATTTTTTACACTACTTATGCAGAAAAATAACTGACTTGTATTCTTTTCTCAGAATTTAGTTTGGGTAAAACTCAACAATGCAAATCATAAAACTATTAATGGCATAAAAAAGAAGCAAGAAGTTGGTACAAAAATAGTTTATTAAAAACAATTTCCTATGGCTGAAATATTGAAGATTTCATATCCACATCTTTTATTTTTAAAAGAAATAGAAACATCGGTCAATTTTCAAACCACTAGGAGTTAAAAACGTTAAAGCAACTGGTCTCGGTTGATCTTTTTTTATTTTTGTGAGTCAATGTTTTGCTTTCAAATAAAACAAATCACAGATTATTAACAACTATTACAAGTAGGTAAAAGCTTATTTACAGCATGTTCTGGGCAGAACCCTTCATTTATTTTTCCATCACTTTATGGGTACGCCTTTCTGTTGAACTGCCCCGCAAACTTTATAATTCTGGGTTCAGAATGAAATCAAAATATGGTCTTCAAAAAAAAGTCACATTTTAATATTCTGTCAAACAGAAAATATTGGTTACTTTAATATTTTGCATGCACTAAAAGTCAAATTAGTGGAACAAGTGATAATGTCTGAAAACAGGAAAGATAAATGGAAAAATAAAACTTACAAAAAAAAAACATTTCAGTCCTTATGCAAGGTATTTGAGTCCTTTTTTTTCTAAACACAATGACAAAAACAAATTTTTTTGTAAGAAATACTTGTAATAAATGACCCAAACCAAGACAAGGTTTTGCAAACCTTAACTTTAGTAATTTGTCATTCCATCCTTCCTCCTTTTGTTTCCTGAAAATAAAAACAGACCAAAGGAACACCAAATTCAACAAGTTACGGTGTAATTTAATGTCCGTTAAGTTTTGATGTGCATAAATTTTGAAAAACTGACAGCCAAGATTTCAAGAACTGCAGAAGTGTACTGCGTTCACCCCACCCCCTCAAAAAAGTTCAGATTTGCCGAATTAATGAGATCAATTTTACAGATAAAGAATAAACTTTTAAAATTTTTGGAATGAATGTAATACGCTTCCATAAAGAACAAATAGAGTAAAAACAAAAAAATTATGAAAAAAACTGCTATTTTGGAACAGCTGTCATTGATAATTAGAAATTGGATCAATCATTTTTTATGAAATAAAACAACTTCATGGCTCAATATTCACATTGAAATTTTCTTATATGTTAAAATGAACGTCGTTTGTGAGCCTTGCACCTCATATTCCCCTAAATTCAAAAAAAAAAAAAAAAAAGCTTGGATATAAACAAAACCCCTCTGGTTGTCAACATTGGAGCAATCTGTATTTTAAAATTTCTGATCATGTTTTAATTATTGACTGTGATCCAAAATTTTAAACTAAAAATGTTAATAGTTTGATTGAAAAAAGGTGGTCCTCATGTATGTAGTAACAGGTTTCAAAACTGAGGTGAAAGGTTCTTGTATAATCAAAATAATTGTGTATTTAAAGGTATTTTGACCAATTTGTGTTTTTTTTTTTTTTGGAGAGAGAAATCACAAGTTCTATCTTCATCCTCATATCTGCAATTTAGTTTGATTTAATTTAAAGTCTGATGCGATAAAGAGTCGACACCAACAAATACAAAGGAGCTGCTTGAGACAATATTCAGTGTTTGACATGAGATTTTGGCAAATTTAAAATGAATGTTTATAAAAGAAGCTTTTGCCATCGCAGATATAAACAAATAAAAACTACAGCTGAATGGAGTTAGAATTGTTTTCCTTGCCTGCATTCATACAAAATAAAAAAATTAAAAAACGACGGGAGATGTGTGTTTTAAAGAAATGTTCTACTGCCCAGAAACTGTTGATTACAATTGAACAAAGTTACTAATTAAAATTTAATCTGTCAGGAAATTAGACAATTACAACGGACTGAATGTCGAGTATCTTTGCTGTGGCTGGCGGTCCGAGGCTGAAGGCCTACGAGGACGCTTCTTTTGTTTCTGTGGGCTCACTTTGAGCTGGCTGGAGAGACGCCGGGTTTCCTGGAGCGGGAGTCGCCTTCGCTAATTGTTCAGACTGTTGAGAGTTTTTCACATCTGGCTCTTTGACGGTGTCCATGGAAACTACAGGAGTCACACGAGATAGCTCTGTGCTGTTAGAGCTCCGGAACCTGTCCATGTTTTCCAGTTCAGCCAGTCTGTCGTCCTTGTCCCACCGCGAGGTCCTCTCTCGTCGTTCTGACCGCTTTGGCTTGTCCACTTTAGTTTCAAGTCCTCTGCCCTTCTCTCGACTCCCCCCTTCTCCCCTGTTTCTGTCTCCTCCCTCACCCCTGCCTCGGTCTCTCTCCCCTTCCTCACCGCGACCTCGTTCTCGGTCCTTGTCAAGGCTGCCTCGCCTCTCCCTCCAGTCCCGTCTCTCTCTGTCCCGATCACGGTCTCTTTCCCATCGATGGCTTCCTCCATCCTCTTGCCAACCTCCGTGTCGGTCTCTCCCATCCATTTTGTCACCACTACCTCCCCTACCTCCATCACCAAAGGAACGTCTCCCCCCTCCTCCAAAACTTCTATCCCTCTCTCTGTCTCGATCCCAGTCTCTGTCCCTTTCCTGCTCCCGATCCCTGAATCCAGGTCTTTCTCCCCTGAAGGGTCTTTCATCCATTTCTTCAGGACCCTCTAAGCTTCTAGGACCTCCTGGTCTGATAAATGGAGCAGGAGAAGAACCTTGAGGGGGGGGACCATGCCCATGAGGGAAAGGAGCCCTGACATTGTGCAGAGAGGGCATCCCAAAGCCTCCTTTAGGTGCAGGAGGCTCGTGGCGCATCATCTGGGGGTGTGGTACCCTTGGTATCATCTGTGATGTATTCTGAGGCATATTGGAGAGAGGAGGTCTTGGCCCATGAGGTGGAGGGAAACGCTGCATATGTTGTGGTGGTGGAACACTGGCGTGGTGGAGATGAATTATTCCTGGACGTGGACCCAGCAGACTGGGAGATGGAGGCTGCATGTTTCCAAGATGCCCACCAGGAGGAGCACCTGAAACTCCAACAGGGAGACCACCTTGAAGACCAACCGGATGACCAACTTGAGGACCACCTTGAAGGCCAACTTGAGGACCACCTTGAAGACCAACTTGAGGACCACCATGAAGACCAACCGGATGACCAACTTGAGGACCACCTTGAAGACCAACCTGAGGACCACGTTGAGAACCACCCTGAACACCGACTTGAGGACCACCTTGAAGACCAACAGGATGACCAACTTGAGGACCACCTTGAAGACCAACCAGATGTCCAACTTGAGGACCACCTTGAAGACCACCCGGATGACCAACTTGAAGTCCAATAGGAGGACCACCTGGAAGTCCAACTGGATGATTAGGCAGAGGTCCACCTGGAAGACCACTTGGAGGTCCAACTGAAGGAGTCCCAACCTGGTTACCTGATGAAGAAACAAACACAGTTGGAATTAATTAAGCTAACATTGTTTACAAAGGCTTTTATTTTCTCTAGGGATGCTCTGATTCAATCACTGGATCAGGAATTTGGCCCGTTTATGTGACATTCAAAGGATCTGGAACTGGGTGGAAAAGGTTGGCTAGAACATCATAAAGTAAAAAGGTGTCCTTTTAAATGTTTATGTTTGTGTTTATTTATTTGGCAGATGCTTTTATCCAAAGCGACGTACAATTTATAACCTATAGGGTGTAGCGAGATGAAGGTTCTCTGATTTGTGCCAAAGGTCACATTTGCCCAGCTGGGTCAAGCTGGGGTCAAACAGTACTTTGAATCCACAGATTAAACCCAAGGAGCCACGATGTCTGCTCAAGATCATAACATCATCTGCTGTTCCGTCCCAGAAGAAGGGACACTTCAAGCCACAATGATAATTATTAAATAATAATTAATAAACTTATGATTTTATTACTGTTTAAATAATCATTAATACATGATCACTTGGTTCAGATATAAAGGTATTTTAATTACATGAAATGGATTATTATGCTTTGGGTATTATAATGATTATTATTATAATGTTTATAAAGATCAGACCGCTAAGGTCCATGCCTTGCGCTACCACCCGACACACAATGCACCTGACCCTTCTGACCCCTCCCATGAGTGGTGAGCCCATGTGAAAAAACAACCCATTCAAGTAGGGCGACGGTGGCACAGGAGTTAAGTGCTCTCCCCGTAATCGGAAGGTTGCAGGTTCGAACCCTGCTCAGTTTGCCACAGTCGTGTCCTTTGGCAAGACACTTAACCCGCCTTGCCTGCAGGTGCTGATCGGAGGGACAGGTGGCGCTAGTGCCCAGCAGACTCACCTGATAGTGCGCCCCTGAGCAGCTGTAGCTACATCGTAGCTCATCCCCACCAGCGTGTGAATGTGTGAGTGAATGTGTTGTAAAGCACCTTGGGGGTTCCAGGACTCTAGAAGGCACTATAGCAAATACAGTCCATTTACCATTCAAGTAAAAATCAGGGAAAATACTGACCCATTGGTCCTAACTGATTGTTGAAGATGTTGGGTCCCTCATGGACCTCATTTTTCTTGCTACCCAGACCTGATGGGTCCTGATCATCAACACCGCTTTTAGATGAAGGTCCAGGACCTAAGTGCATAGGTCCTGAGGGTGGAAAACCTGGAAGATATGACCCAGTTTTAATTGTTTCAATAAAGAGCACTGGTGTGGTTAATCTGAAGTATATATACATATATATGTATGTATTCTAGCTCTGCCAAACAAACTGGATAGGTTCTGTGCTCTCAAATAGTTAAAATCATAAAATATGGGTTTATTTAGCCAATTTAAAGCTAACAAAAACACAATTCCAAATAAGTTTCTAAACAAAGTTTGTCTGAAATTTACAGACTGAAACTAAAATAAGGTCAGAAGATAGAGGTAAGTGGTGCTACCTGGAGGCATTTGCAAAGGGTTGAACCCAGGTCTCATAAAAGGAGGAGGAGGGATACCAGAAGTAAAGGAAGGTGGCAGCATTCCAATGGGACCAGGAAAAACAGGTGGCCGGAGGGAACCCATCATTGGCTGCTGTATCGGAGGAACCTGACAACATTTATAAGATTTTACTGCCAGTCATGGGTTTCAATCTGCTGGTAAATGTGTTTAGGAAAAAAAAATGTATAAACTGGTCAGTTCTTGTGTTTCTACCTGGGCAGGAGCAGCAGCAGCCATGGACAACACCTGAGCCTCCTCAGGCTGCTGCTGCTCAGAACGGCCATTATGGGTCGGTTCCTCAGGGTGGCCAAGAGACTTCCTCATATTATTCCACTCTGGGGGAAAAACAGATGTTCAAAAAGGTGAAAATCACTCGCTAAGACACATAGCTGACATACGTTTACACACACACACACACACACACACACACACACACACATTATATATATATATATATATATACACATCGCTCAGCCAAATTTAAGTCTACTTCTTACACGCTATACTTCCAGAACATGTCAAGCTCAACATTTCAGTTGAGATCATTCCAGACAGGAAGTCTAACGCAAGAGCAGTGTAAAACATCTGGAAACTTTAAAAATAAAAGTTACGTGCAGATTTCCAGCTTCCTAATTAATAAAAAAAGAAATGATTTAGTGTGAAACCTCCGCAGCCAAAGTAATGAGAACAGAAAATGAACCACAGACCTTTTTGGATATATGCTAGCATCTTTCTCCTTGTTATCGTGTGAATTGCCAAAATCACGCATGATCTCGCAATACTCCAGCTTTCGTTACGCTGACTTGTGAAAAGCTCCCCGAGGTTAAACGTGCCGCTTGCACACGACAGAAACGACTCACTTGCGTAAATAGACCCATTTTTGAGTTCTGTGTTTTAACAAACATTTTACCTGGAGATAAGGTATCCACATCAAGCATCCCTCCCTCTTGCAGTTCTTCTAACTGGTCCTCTTTGACTTTAGACCAAGGTATGTAGGTGACTCCCAGCTCCACATCCCAGAACTGCTTAAACTCAGGCTTTATGCCCTTGTTCAAAGCCCAGGCAATCTGACAAGAAACAAATAATAGAGACTTGTTCCAGATTTTTTTTTTTGTATTTTACAAAAATAAACCACATTACCCACCTTGATTGCTTTCTGATTAACTTTATATAATCCTCTACTGAGCTTCTGCAGAGCTCTGAAAGCATCTTGCCTATGAACCATGACGATGTAAGCACAGCCACGTGGAGGAATCATCTAGAAAGAAAAGGACCATTTTTCAGGTGGATTATGAGACACAAACACCCACGTGGGTGTAAAGTAGAAGTCTTACATTGATGGACTCGATTTGTCCAAACTCCTCCAGTAAGGACGCAACATCCTGTTGCTGAGTCCTCTTGTCCAGCTGTCCCACCCAGAGAGTCGTGCTGCAAACTGAGATGAAATCCAACAACAACATCAAAGAAAAGGACGGAGGTGATCGGAGGGTGTGAACACTGCCCTTGTTTGTCTCACAGCCTTGAAAAGATGCTGACTCACCACTCAGCGTCTCGTTTTTGGGTGAGGGAACTCCCCTCTGCCGTCGTTCTCTCTCCTTCTCCCTCTCCCGGCGCTCCTGGGAACGAGAGCGTGGCGAGGGGTGGCGCCTGTCTCTGGAACGAGAGCGTGATCGTCTGTGTCTGGACCGCCGCGTGCGGGAGTTAGACCGAGACCTCCTCCTTTTTGGAGATCTGGAATTTTAAACAATATATATGTAACCTTAATATTATAATTTTGAAAGGACATTTTTTCCCTCTCCAAATTCCTACCTGGAGCCTGAATGAGATCTTCTGTACTGTCGGCCATCCCTCATCGATGAATGGTCCATATCCGCCGAGGATTCCTGATCAGACCCAGCAGAATCAGATTTTTATCTTTTAAACAAACCCTAACCCTTATCGTTTCTGATTACCGTGTAAGATTGTAAATTATACCTGCTGTGGCTGAGCTGCATTCTGGGGAGCATTAAGTCCTGGAAAGCATGTAGGCCCAGAGGAACCAGGAAGGGGCTGCCCAGAAGGAGCATGGCCCATAGGGGGCAGCCCAACAGGAAACCCGTGTCCTGGCAGGAGGCCGTGAGCCTGGAGTTGACCATTAGGAGGCAAAGGAGCCTTAAAAACACATTAATTATTCCTTTAAGCAGCCTATTCGACACACTTATTTTACTTAAATGTAGATAAACAGCTAAACACCTGTTGTGTGAGGTCTTGTGAAATATTCACCACCTGTGTGTTAAAGTGCTCCATGTGCTGGGGAAAGGCTGGAGGATGTTGCATACTGTGACAATAAAAATACATCATTAATACTTGTTGTTTCTAGGTCTTTACATCCCCTCTGATGTCATCACACATAAGCATCAAACTCACAGGGGAGGCTGTGAGGGGATCTCGTCCTTCTTGGTTTCTTCTCCAGCTTCTGGTTCATCGTCATAATCAAAACGGTCCAGCAACTTCTAAAAACATAACATTTCAAGATATTTTTTCTTTTCTTTAAGCAGACATGTGTTTAAAACAGAGATCCAGAGTTTTTTTTGTCAGAGTGCACCATCCAGAGGCAGAAAATTGTATTGCACCTCCAGCCCCTCCCCCTACTGACATGATTATGGCCGGAGCAAAGCCTCTCATTGGTGAACACACCTCTAACCAGGCAACAGAGCCAAAAACATTGTTTTATAACTACTAATCTAATGTTTGTTCATGTTTATAAATTTTAACGCAAACGTAAAGACTTGTTAACACTTTAAGCTACTGCTTTCAAACTGGTTTCAGTGGTTCTTGAGCCAGAAACTTGACCAACTTAACATTGTACACCACTCTGTAGCCCTCTGCTGTGGTTCAGGTAGGAAAACTAGTGGGCTATAGCGGTTTACTGTGCTGGAAGCTAATATAAAGGCTAGCAGTTAGATTTTTCAGTTCGTCGATGGGCAATAAAAAGCACAAGAAGAAGAATTTGGCTTTTTGTTTGCATCATGGTCGAGCCTGAAAGTAAAAGCAAGAGAGTAATGTCTTTTGAGGTGAAGCAAAGAGCTAGAACCAGAGTAAACATCGACGCGGCCTACGCTAGTTTGAGGGAGCTAAAGGAGGCTATGAAATCACGGACTGATGATGACCTGGCTTTGTTGCTACTGGACCTGTAAGTAGTAATATTTTGGTCAACAGTATGAATTTTTTACTTTGTGGCTTATTTAGCACCAGTTGGCTCATGTTAGCACTAGCTTGTTATTAGCGCTGGCTGCAGCAAAGTTGTTTACAACAGCTGCAAATACACTTTTAACCAGTAGAAGCCAGAAACGGGAAACAAAAATGGAATTTCAGTTCTGTTGTTTGAGGCTATGGTGCTTTATGGCATGCACAAATACAAAAACACACCGTGTCAAAAGCTGTTTTCTGCTGGGCGGCCTGAGAGGGCAACAGGGGCTGTGGTGAGGGTACGGGAGGTTGTGGAACAGCTGCACTTGGACCACTGGAGGCGATCTGAACTGGTGTTTGAGCGGTGAGTGGAGGAGGCTGAGGCTGGGGAGGCTGGGGCTGGGGCTGGGGGGTGGCTTCAGGCTTCACCACTGCTGGTTGCTGCTGGAAGTTCTGGAGCATCTGCTGAAGCTGAAAACACCAATCAGGTGAAACAGTTAGAGAACATTGATTGCAACAGAGTGAATGACATCACCGAGGCTTTGAACACACCTGCTGGCCCTGGGAGGACTGGAAGAGCTGCGCCACAGCAGCAAAGGCATCAGAGTTGTCCAGCTGAGGGGCCGAGGTTGAGGTGGAGTTGTCTGTATCCATGGTAACTGGCTCTTTGGCTGGAAGTGGCGGAGAGCCTGAAAAAAAAAAGTGAGACATGAGCTAAACAGTTTTACCTGTGAGATAGTTTTAAGCTGCACTAGATCACCAGGTTCGTCCACGCTGGAGATGGATGCAGCACCACCCCCAGAGCCAGCCGCCATGTCCAGGAGGGGCTGAATGACCTCAATCTTAAACACCCCGTTCTTCTGCCACAGGTTCAAAACCCGCACCAACTTGCTCTACACACAAAGAAATTTGGAGAGCGAGTTTAGGAAAAAGAAAGATGGCATTAAGAGCATTCCTGCCTGCTCTTACCCTGTCCTCTATGGGGCAAAGGCAAAGGTTCTCAAAGGTTCCTGTGATGTTTTTGGTGAACCTGGGACCAAATACATCTTTGTCTGCTCCAAACTGATGTCTGGACTGCCGAACAATGGAATCCACCACGTACAGACCTGCTACCTTATATTCAGGCTTACACTGCACAAATCCAACAAAAATAATAAATAAAAAAAACAGATCTTAGATTTAAATGTTTTTCGAGAACGAACCGGCCATTAGATTCTGCTAAAAAAAAAACTTAACGTACCTTTTTGATAAACTTTTCGACAATCTGGACCACGTGTTTGTAGAGCTGAAAAAGAGAAAACCAAGTGTGTTTACGTTTGGATTTATTCACAAATACAAGCTTACAATTCTCACTTTTTCTTACTTTCATAGCTTTGATGGCTGATTTGGTGATGGAGATCATCTTAGCCCTGGATATTGGAGGCTTGGAGTCCATCAGTGAGAATAACTAAACAGAGAAATGAAAGAGAACTGATGACAAAGCAAATCAGATTAAAGAGCTGTTCCTTCTTGTATTTATTGCTCTGTAAAACCTTTTGTTTCATTAATTAAGCAATTACACTGCCCCTACACCATAAATTGCCCTAACCCAGTTGATAAAACCAACGACCATCGAGAGACTCAAATATTCAGCTTTTGTTTTCCTCTTCGGAGTCTTATTTCCTGATATTTGGACATCTCACCTCTGATTGATTAACAGCAACACAACTCTACCACTGATTTTGTTTGATTTGCAACGTTGATGTTTTATCCTCACAAATAACACAAGCCTGAAGAAGTTCCGCCAAGTGGTGGAGTTGCTAATGCTAACAGTTAGCTTCTACTAGCTGGGATGTTCTCTGCGGTTTCCTTGATGCTAAACCAACAACAGCCTTCCCCGTCGCGCGCCAAGATGGGTGAGTCCATGAACATTAAGTGACAGTGTGACGTTGATCATTCAGGTTTTTCTGATCTGAATTGGGGTTGAACGATTAATTGCATATGCAATTAAATTGCAATACAAAAGGAGATTTTCTAATCACAAAGGCTGCGATTTGACTGGCAGGGAGTGGTTAGCACAATGCTAGTATACATTGAAAACCCCATAGGGATGCTAATGCTAATATCGCCAAATAGATTCTTACAAATTACAAATTAGGAACGTCCCAAATTATTACATTTGGACTCTAATAAAAAGTAAAAACTGCCATTAATCAAATAAGTACAGAAAGATATTTTAGTAAAGATAGAAAACTGTACTTCAACTCCACTGAGTTTTGGCTAGCAGCTGTGAACGTAACTGAACTACGGAAGCTCTGCATGGACCAGACGTCAAAAACTTTAAACACAAAAGACTTCAATAAATGGGACACACTTCTTTCCTGCAAATAAGTTTTCACGGTTGATGCTAATACCCATTCTCCTTCAAGGGACGTGCTCCTGGCTACAAAGCATTGCACCTTCAAATACAAGATGTTGTCTTTACTTGTGAGTGTTCATATATGTGTAGATACATAAACTTGTTGATATTCAGTACAAGTTACATAGATCTATTTTTGGCTTCCGTTATTTGAAAAATGAGAAAAGCCCCTTGAGAAAATAATTGTGAATTAAATCGCAATTGCAATATTGAAGAAAAAAATCGCAATTAGATTATTTTCCTAAATCATTCAGCCCTAATCTGAATGTTTTTTTATTTTTTATCAAAAGCTAATGCAGGAGATAGGTGTAGAAGACTTTTTTCATGTTCAGCCTGCATGTTGAACTCAGTGTAACCGATCATTCCCAAAAATTATAAGTAAAAACTCCCAGGCTTCTGCTGCATGACAGCAAAAGGAAATCCTACCGTTCTTATGAAACACATGTCTGACCCTATGGTCCATTAAAACACTACGCTGGGTTTTATTGATGCTTGGTAAAGTTTTATCCTCTTGAATATATCGGTTTTAATTAGGGCTGCTCAATTAATCGAATTTTAATCACGATTACGATCTGAGTTTTGAACGATTATAAAAAACATAACAAGCCGATTATTTGCTCCTCCCGCTTGCGCTGCCCTAAGTTGCAAATGAAGCGCTCCTCACAGTGTTGCCAATTTAGCGACTTTGACGCTATTTCTAGCAGCTTTTCAGACCCCCTTCTTGACTTTTTAATCCTAAAAGTACCTAGCGAACATCTCAGAAACATCTCTGGTAACCCTTAGCTACTTTCTGGATAACTGTCGTCGACATTTCCTGCAGGTTAGCTAAACACTCCGCCTGTGCTCCGGACCGTTCTTCACAACATTAGGAAAGGGAATGATGCAGTGATGTGTCGGTCGCTAAAGACAGCTCTCGGAGCCGGCTCCTTGTTGGATTAACCAGAGTGAGTGACACACACACCGCACCTGCGGTCTCCTGAGCAGCTAAAAACAGCTAAATGTGCGCGTGCGGCGTGCTAAACACACGTGCAGCTTGCCCGATTGTGTGAGACCGGGGTGGGGGGGTGGGGGGTGCAGCTGTGGTCGGGACAATTATTACATTAACTGATGGGCCTGTAAATAAATAGTTTATAAATAAGGTAGAAATAAGTTCCTCACGCTGATAACTAATCTCTCTGAGGACACAGTGCTACAGTACCTTGACACGACTCAATAAATGTTATGTAACATTTTGTGAACATCAGTTTATTTGCATTTATTTGTTATAAATGCCACTCTATAATTCTTGCTGTCAGTATTTGCAAGATATTGGTATTTGGGTCTGTACTGGTTAGACTTACATGAGTTAAACCAAGGTCTATAGCCCTTGGGTCGAGCTATAAGTATATTGGTCCTTTTATCCTGGGAATCAGGAGTTCTTTTAGTGATCATCTTGTTTCTTATTTTTGTCCTGATTGTGCCCTGAGCAGTTTTATGACTGAATAAAAACAAATAAAATCAACATAAATTGAAAAATCGTCCTAAATAATCGTGATCTCAATTTCAGTCACCATAATCGTGATTATTATTTTTGCCATAATCGAGCAGCCCTAGTTTTAATATGTTTTTACAAATTTTAGTCTCTGTATTTACCTTTTTATTCGTGCTTCATGCACACAACACTTTTTGATTGGTAGCATGAAGTAGAGGCAACCGATATTAGTTGTTCTGTTGCCGATATGTAGAAGACACAGTCAGCTGACGGCTGATATGTACTGCTGATTTTTATGGGCGGATTTTCATGGCCAATATTCAGACAGTTGCCTTATTTTGATGCTAAAATGTCAATAATAGCATCAGCTGATGTACCAAATTTCTGAAACTGAATCAGTTTTTGTTGTTGTTTGTTTTCGTGAAGCAATTCTTGATTTATATCTTGAGAGTAGACAGCAAAAGGAAATCCTACCGATACAATGCAAATACCAGTATCGGTATCAGTAAAAGTTAACCGATACCAGGAACCGATACCAATGCAATTGCTTGAAAATGGCTTCACTGTAACTTGTCATTTCTGTTCACCTAATATTTTAGTTGTGTGATGATTTCCATTCATATATTTTACTTTTTATCTACCTCACAGTCTTTTCCTGTGCAGAGAAGAAAATAAAATCTGTATTCCAAATCATTGCCTTTTTTTGTATTGTAGAAGTATCGGTATCGGCGAGTACTCAGATCCAAGTATCGGTATCGTATCGGTTTGGAAAAAAGTGGTATTGTTGCATCCCTACTTGAGAGGCGCTGATAAAAAAGATTGTTTTCTTTCTTACTTTCTTTCTGGGACATGCCTGGAAATTGCTGCATCGCTGCTGGTCTGAAACAACCCATAATGAATTATATTTGAACCAGTGGCGTTCTGTTGCCGTTCCACGCCGCTGATGCTTTCAGTGTGAAACCGGGGTAAGTTGAACTAACTTTTAAAGTCCGGAAGGACAGCCACTGGATTTGTAAAGCCTCTGATGTTCCCCTGTGTGTTACTTTGAGGCTTGGCACACAAAATGTGGCATCTGGTCATGACACCTTCTTTTTAACTACATGTATATAATATAAATGTAAATATAAGTATATATATTTTGTGACTTGCTAAACCTGATCCAGTCTTCTGCTGGACAATTATGGAAGTGACAGAGGTAGACAAAGTGTGTGGAACTCCATTTTCAGCAGCTTTACAGGAAAAGCACCTGAGACATGCCTTGCATTTTTAAGCAAAAAACTTGCATTCGACAGTTGTTTACTAGATTTGAGCTTTTGGGGTTTTTACTCACACCCTATAGTTTTATTTTGAGTGCTGAACACTGGTCCGTTACAAATGTTTGTGGTTTTCACTGCAATAAGTATGTCATTTCTTTCTACGCCGAATGATTTCTTTGTGTGTGTGTGTGTGTGTGCTTTCAGGTTCAGTGTGCTAATGAGGTATGACAAAAGAAATGACTAAGTTCACATAGGTGATGTACTGAAAAGAACGATCCCAAACCAAACAAGGCACAAAGTAGAGCTGCATGATTTTAGGAAAAGCTGTGATACACAATAACAGTGATTAGTACTGCGATGACAACATGACTTGCAATAAGTAAAAACTTAACTCATGAATACAAAAATTACAAATTACTAAAATGTATACAACATGGGAAAAGCAAAAATTGTGATCAAGAGATGTGAGGAAAGCGAAAAAGAAAATGAACAATAAATGGCAATCAGTGGAGCCCGGGAAAAGCAGAATCAGCAGAAAGTACAAAACAAAGCTAACTCAGGTGTTTGCTAACCATCCAAATTAAGTGCCATATGCCTCGGGGGCGGGCATCTAACCTATGAGAACCCACCCGATTGGCCAAATAGGTGAAGAGCTCTATTTAATTTGTCAAAAACTTCATGCTTCTGTTTTTCTGTTCTTTGCGATATGCAGATCCCCCTAAACTCCCACTGCTGATATCACGACGCAATAAATTTGCGATATATTGTGCAGCCCTAGCATAAACAATCAAATAGAGTGAAATATAAAGGTGAACACTAAAACTTGTCAAAACGGCTAATTATACCACCGACACCAGAGGGTTCAAACCCTAGGACATTTATAATAAACAGACATTTAGCATACAGACACCCCCCAGTGGGTGTTGTGCTTGTAAACAACACAACTGATTCCTGATGAACAATTTAGTTAGCAGAAATCATTGGAAAAATAACCTGTGATGGCTAAGACCAAATAAAAGTGGGAATATAATGATGAGAGAAGTCAACCAATTAGCTCCACGCCCACCACAGTCACACCCCAAAAGGGTCAGGCCCTACCAGAGCCCTATCTGGGTTCAATCCCCTAAACTCCCACTGGTTTTACTAACTCGTTTCTTTGAGGGGGGATTAGATGAAGTGGAAGAGAGAGAGGAATGTGAGATGGAAGGCAAAGAGCCCTCAAATGCCAGAAGAGTGAACACTCCTCTAAAATGAACCCAACCAAGATAGTCAATTATAAACAGTTTATTACACTAAAATAATAACAGCAACTACTTCTAGTTGTGATCCCGTAACTACTACCTAATTAGAATGTTTAGCATTCAGTCACAGCTCAATCAGAAGACGCTCTGATGTTCCAAATGTCTCTGAAAGGTTTAATAACCTAAAATCAAGACACAACAAACCAGTGCATCCATTACAGGAGGTGTTTTTGAATGGATGAGCCGTGAGCCCACAGGCCGCACCGCCTTAGCCCTCCTCCTCCTCCTCCTCAACCAAACACACGCTCTGCGTTTGAAAAACAAACAAACACAGAAAGCACGCTAATATCGCCGTTTTACTAAAGTGTATGCCTGCTGCAAGTACCAGACTCAACCCCACTAGCTATAACATCACGGAGAATCCAGAGCTACAACTATTATTAGTAGCAGTGTTAGCTAGCTACAAAGTGGAAAATCCTGCCATTCGATTCAGTATCGCTGCTTTAGCTGCAGTAGCTCCATAAAACTGTAAAATCACTTGCGGTTAGTTGTTTGTGAGCCAAGGATGGTGTAGAGTTAGTAGGCCCTCTGCGTTGGTCCGACCTGCTCAGCTAGCTACAGCATCAAAGCGGCACCATGATGACCAGAACCTCCAGACACGGTGAGTTACGGCTCCCTGCAAGCTGTTTACCTCCTGGTTAAAGGCGTTAACGGCCTCCATGACTGCCAGGCACTCTGGGCTTTCTCTTCTGCTCCCGATTTACTGTTTACAACGATGTTTGTTCACGGAAGGGTCGGCACAACATGTCCGCTCCCGGTAGCTAACGCCTGTTAGCCTCGCATTGGTAGCTCTCGGGTCGGCGGGCACGGCAAAGCATGATGGGATTCGGTGTTGTTGTTCCAGCTTTGTCCACTGAGTGGCGCAATGCCCAAAGGTGTAAAATGCCTTTTGGAACTTAACCAGCAGGAGGTAAATATAAAAGCTTAGTTGAGTGAATAAGGTGAATCACTTCCCAAATTTGACATCATAATTGTTTTGTGGTTCAGGCGATTTAAGGGAGATGGAATAAAAGGTTTAAAGTTTGATTTTGGTCATTTTTCAGTGGTTCTTGCATCATGTTTAATGTATCAATGAGCAGGTCCACGTAACAAAATTGCTGGTTGAGTATTAACTTTTTGCATTTTTTATTACATTCTCATGGCGGGTAGATTTAAAGGTGCAGTGTGTAAGAATGTAGTGAAGATTTTACTGTGAGAAAATCCCAAAAGAGTCCAATGTTTCAGTCTATTTGAAAGTAAGGTTACACTGAAACATATTTCATATCCAGCTGGCTGTGGTGATCATGAACATAGTTTTGACTTTAGAAGTCTGGAGAAAGGAGAAAAACTGACAATCCCCACCATGGACATAGTTTTTTATTTATTTATTTTTTGGTGGTGGTGGGGGGGGGGGGGTCTTTACAGTAAATAAATTAAAAATATGCAATAAACTACAGATTAGAGGCTCTTTAATGCAATGTCAGGAATGCAAAACTGTCAAGTACACAGGTGGCAGGAACTGCACACGTTAGCACGTATCAGTAGAACCAATAGATGAGCTATAGACGGCTCTAATACAAGTGGTTGTTTTCTGCTTGGTCCCAGTGCTCAACCAGTGTCTATTTAATATAACGTAATATTGGTTTTGGACAATAAAAAGTGCAGGGGACAAAACTTGACTTTGGAAAAAGTGTGTGTGTGTGGGGGGGGGGGGGGGGATCCCCACCTTGTCCCCCACTCCCTCATCAAAAACTATATGTTCATGGCGGGCATTGCCAGTTTTTCTCCTTTCAAATCAGAGGAAGGAGGGACGTAACTACTGTTTACCATCATAGAGTGTGGAGTTGCCATGTCTTCTGAGAGCTAAAACTGCAGCGCCAACATTTGTAATTTGACGACAGCCGGTAAAAAGCTCCATAGATGTTTGAAGTGGTTGCATTAAACAAATGTCACCACGGGATGTCATTTTAACTTCATTTCTACATGATGCACCTTTAACTTGGCCATTTTAGCCCACGTCTCAAACTCTGGAATCAAATGAAGCTAGAAGCTGATAAAACAAAACGTAAATTTAATTTTCCCAACAATGGTATTTTTTCTCTCCAGGAAAGCAACAATAGAAGCACAAAACTTAAGCACTAAACAGAGAGACAAATCTTGATATTTTTTATTAGAATCTCTACTTAAAATTTTTAATTTGAAAAAATACACAAATCATGAATCAGAAATCAAATGTTCCCTAGCTGTTCGTGCACACTACCTGTACTTCATTTAAATGTCTGCACTTGTTTATTTAAAAAATCTTTATTCATGTAACCTAGTGAGTCCTTTTCGATCTAAAAGAAGATAATGAAACAAAACATATAGGAGCATCTTTTCCCTTTCGAGTCAGAGGAACTACGCTCTTGTAGTTCAAAACGCCTCCAGTAGATGGCGCGCCTGTACTTCTTGGTCTAAACCAAGATGTCTAGAAAGCATTGCGCAGCAGTCAGGTCACACTGCGTGTTTTTGTGTTTCAGTGACCAAGACAAGCCAAATAAATAAAGACCCAAAGGTAAAATAAACAAAAACGTCACATTTCTTAACGGATTCGTGTTTTTTATTTTGTTTTTCATTCACCTCTTTTAGGTTTAATGTGTATAGTTTACTGTTTCACCCAAGCTGCACATCATTATGAGAATAATGCGCTATAGAAATGATATCTTCTTCTTCTTCTTCTTCTTCTTCTTCTTCTTCTTCTTCTTCTTCTTCTTCTTCTTCTTCTTCTTCTTCATTTGACTATTAAATGCTAGACCTCAGCTAAATAAAAACAAATCCGTCTTTGTCTTGTTTTGTCTGAGAAAGATCAGTTAACCAAAACATACAAAAGTAAGCTGACATAAACCATTTGAGTTAAAAATGTGGTGATTTATTATCAGTAAAATTCAAAAGTTAGTAGGCTGTATTTCTAATGAAATTATTGCGTTTCTGTTTATTGTGCGTAGTGGAACCATGTAGGACTTTACGCACAGTTGGACTGTGCGTAAAAAAGGACATGCAACCAGAAATCATGCCAGAATATAATAGGTGTTGATTCAGGTGTGTGTTCCAGTCATCTGGCCACTAATGAATCCTTTGTTCCTGTCCATGTTCGGCGTGAGAGCGCTCGATGAGGCGGTGGTGATGCCGGTACAGTTGTTCACATGCGCTCCGCCCGCCTGCGCTGATTGGATGAAAAGCTACCCCCTGCCACTACAGTCACCGTGTCTTTTTTTCCCCTCACACCAAGGAAACGCCCACCCAGAGGACCGGGAAAGTCACTTCAAAATGAAAAACACGCTGCCTGCTCGGTCACATCATTCAAGAAACGCTCCTGTTTGGAGACGCGCCTTCGCACTGCCGAGCCTCAGTTAGCAAATATCTCCAAGATAAGCTGCGCTAGTTGGTTTAACGCGCTTTTTATATTACCAGGACTGACTTTTTTTATTTATTTCTCTCTGTGTCATTTTAATCCGATCTGATTGTCTCAGAAACTGTTGGATGCTGTCGGTGAACAGGTGGCACAAGCTCCAAGCGCTCCTAAATCTGTCTTCAGACGCGCACTGAGCGCGCGTTAAGCGTTTAATAGGATACCTGTCTTCCGTTAAGGCGGGCGAGAGTTGCGCATCCACTCTTGTTTGGGGCAACAACGCCTGTGGTGATGGACAACGAGAACATGGGACACGAATCAACGGATGATGAGCATGAAAGGGAGAGCATCCTGGAGTCCATGACCTGTCCCGGGGAGGACATCGTCAAGAAGTTTTACCACACCAAACGGGTCGGGAGCTACCTGATCGGGAGGAAGCTGGGAGAGGGATCGTTCGCTAAAGTTAGAGAGGGTCTCCACACTCTGACCGGGGAGAAGGTAAAGCGCACTGCAGCACGAAAACACACACGTACATGGGCGTAATTGTTTTTTTAAGGGGACGGGGGGGGGGGGGGGGGGGGTCATGTTCTCCCTCACCTTTTTATCTATCAATTTTGATTCATGATTTTTACTTATTTTTACTTAACTGAGGTAGAAAACACGTAAACGAGGTTTAAGGACAAGATATTCTGATCAAAATGACTTCCCTAAATTGTGTGCAGGGTGATTTTGTGCATCTTGGAACACCTTAAACCTTCTTGTCCTGGTGTTAGAATCGTATCACACACGTCCTTGTGCATTGTTTTGTGCCACCCGCAGGATATCTAAAAATTAACCCAAACTTTTCACATCGGTTTGGGTATCTACTTTTCCTTTTCCAGCTGTCAGTCCAGTTGATCCGCTCCATCCACCCAAGAGAGTCCAGCCGTGTTTGCCTTTGTTCGTGAGCTCAGGCGGCACCAGCAGCTGTTGGGCTGCACAGCGGTGCTGCTCTAGAGAAAATATTTACCTACGTGGTGAGACAGAAAGCGTGTAGGTCTGTGTTGCTTTTCCCCAATGCACTGGGTGAGAACATGTGCGTTCTGTGAGGTTTTTGGACCTCCGCTTTGTCTGCTGCTGCTGATAGTGATCTCACCTCATGTGTGCACGCTGGGCTGTGATAGGGGACAGAGGTCCGGCCTATGAGGGAGCAGAGCCGCTACTTGCATATGAAATTGTGTCGTTGATAAATGGCCCTCATTAGGATTCTGCAAGCGCAGGGCTTTGATACGGCCACTGGTTGCCTTTGTCTCTCAGTCTCTACAGGTTCCATTTATTTTTTCCCCTCTTTGTTTCATTTTTGGGACGCAGCCAAAGTAAAATTGGCATGTTTGGAAAAACAAGCACCTCCTCCTCTTTCTTGCTTCAACTTGTGAAACCAGTTTGCATTTTTTAATGACAAATATAAAGAAGGCTTGTTACTAAAAATAAATAACTCTTAAATATGTTGACTCTCTTAATCCTCCACCACCTTGTTGCTGTGAAGAGAAAGCAAAGCAACCTCCCCACCACCACTACATCACGGTCTTTGTTGAGGATGATGCAAACTGTAGCAACCTCACAACCACGCACAACTCTCGCTTATTTGAATACAGGCGTCCAACAGGCACGGGAGGGGGGGGGGGGGGAATCAGGGCGTTTGGGTTTAGTCAGAGGGTATTTAGGGGCTAAATGACTCCCAAATTCTCCTTTTCAGCAGAGAAAATGTGGATGCAGGGGTGAGAACTGCCATTGTGTGGTTAAACGCAAGGGTTAGTGAAAGTGAGAAGGGGTGAGTGATGAAACTATCACGGTCAGGGGGTTGGAGAGGTCCCTTGTGCATGTTTTTGATGTCTGTAACCCACTTTCTCGTCCAGATTCCCCCACGCACCCCCCTTTTTCTGTCTGAGGGGTGCCTGATAAACAACCGAATCCCCCAAAAGCCCCCTGGCAGGGCCAACCCCTTCCCCTTTACTAAACCCCACCCCTCCTCACATATACACTACTGTAAATACACCCCCCCCCCCCCTCCCACCCGACACACACACACATCCTGCACCCCCCTTCCTCCTTTCTTCCAACTGGCGTAAACACGGGGCCATCGACAACTGTCGAGTGACGGCACATTGTCCTCACGCGCACACTCGCAGGCGTGCGTGCACAAACAGCCAGGCTTAATTAGCAGCTGCACCAAAGAAAAAAGGGGTTTGCAGAGGTGAATCACTTATCAGAGCTTAAAACCATCTAAAGGACGGACGTAAAAAAATGAGCTGAAGAGCAGAAGAGAAGAGCGGACACCATTTTGCCATGTCGTTAATGGATATGGTGATTTGTTCCACTTGCCATGCCTGTCTGTGTCCATGGGCTCCCCTTGGGATGATTTGTGACGTGTGTTAACCGTGTTCTTGAACTCCGTCTAGACGGGTTACAAGGAGACTCGGGCAGAGGGTGAAATAGAGGAGATGGGCATTTTATTGAAGGCAATTATCTGGATGGGTCCGTCTTTGAATAAAGGACGCGCCTTTGGATTTTATGAGGGCATTTTGCAAATATGTTCATCGATGACACGTGTGGGACGCGGGCAGAATGCTCATGAGCAATAAAATAACAACACCCTTTGGTTCGGCCAGAACTTTCGTAACGACTTCTCGTGCGTGCTGAAGGAAATAGGAGTGATGATAACTATGCATGCAGCTCTGGACCCTCCCAACACTCAGGACGGTGTTTGCTCCTCTGGTTTATGACGCTCCAGTAAACCTTTTGGGCTTCTCAGGCCCTCCCTTTGAAATCCCAGGGTTCTCGTGTTGCCCCACGCTGGGAGCAGCTGCTGGGTGGAGGCAGCATCGAGTTATGTCCTCCGCAGTAAAGACGGAGTCCCTCATCACCTGTTACCCCTACGACTTGCTGACACCCTAAGAGACACAGTCATGCTTTAGTGTGCTGGCTGGATAACTTGTGGTAACATATGGCACAAGGTTTAAGAGTCAAACCTCAGCTACCAAGTCGTGGCTTTTTCAAGCTCTCATCCTCTTACTCTCTCCTTTCCCCGTGTCTCTCCAGGTGGCGGTGAAGGTAATCGACAAGCGAAAGGCCAGGAAGGACTCGTATGTTACCAAGAACCTGCGGAGGGAGGGCCAGATCCAGCAGATGATCTGTCACCCCAACATCACCCAGCTGCTGGACATCCTGGAGACGGACAACAGTTACTACCTGGTGATGGAGCTGTGTCCCGGCGGGAACCTCATGCACCGCATCTACGACAAGAAGTGCCTGGAGGAAAGGGAGACCCAGAAGTACATCCGGCAGCTGGTGCTGGCTGTAGAGCATCTGCACAGGGTGGGCGTGGTCCACAGGTAATTTTTCTATTCTGATTAAATTACGAGAAAGCCCAAAAAATTTCAACAAAAAAAAAAAGTTTCGTGTCAATTATTCCAGGTTGTCCAAAAATTTACTGAAACAATTTACCAAGCGGTGCCACTGTCATGCAAATACCCTAAAATATTCTAACAGCGGGTTTTATTCTGTTTACAAAACCCGCTCCGCACGTTTAAATCTAATTTTCTTGAACTGTTCTTGGGATTACCAGTACCAGTAACTCAACAGCCAAGGAAATGAATTTCTATCGAGATGAGATGGTCCAAGTAGACAAACGTGTAACAGGATTATTTAATCTGAGGAATGATCTGTAGGCACACAATAGATGATGAAAACCAACCAGCGTGACCCACATTAGCAAGGTTATTTGTCTTGTGTCAGGGCTGGAGGAGACGGGGATTACGCTGACCCTTCATGTGCACTGTGGATGAAAATACAGCTGAAACAGGTTATTTTAGACCATCGAGATTTCTTCTATCCTTTGTTTTAACAGGGATCTGAAGATTGAAAACCTCCTGCTGGATGAGAAAGACAACATAAAGCTCATAGGTAACTTAAATATTACTTGAATGGCTCTTTTACCCCAACATTTTTAGGATTTTAATCAACAGTACTAAAAGATCTGATGGCCATAGAGAAGGATTACATGAAATCGCCTCCTTTAAGTCGCCGTTTCTCTAATGAGGTTAAGAGCAAACCTTTTAAAATGCTAACAAGCTCTCACCATATCGTTAATCTGCTTCTGTCTGTTTGCCTGTAGCCGTGATGAAGAGACAACAACATATAACAGGATTGACACTCATCCCACCTCCTCTGCTCCTCCACAGATTTCGGACTCAGTAACTGTGCTGGCATCCTGGGATACTCCGACCCCTTCAGCACTCAGTGTGGAAGCCCGGCTTACGCCGCTCCCGAGCTGCTCGCCAGGAAAAAGTACGGACCCAAGGTGGACATTTGGTCAATGTAAGTTAATCTTTCTAGAGATGTAATCAATTACATGCATTTTTGTTTTTAACGTTGCAATCAGAGTTTTTATTTGTACGTTTTCATCATGTAGCGGCGTGAACATGTACGCGATGCTGACCGGGACTCTGCCGTTCACGGTGGAGCCGTTCAACCTTCGAGCTCTGCACCAGAAGATGGTGGATAAGGAGATGAAGCCTCTGCCTCGCTCTCTTTCCACCGGTAAGAAACAAGAGGGCTGGAGAAGAAAGATAAACCTCTTCGTTCTTCAGTGCCACTAGATTAAAAGTTAGATTAAAGAAATTAAACTGTTATGATTCTAGATCTATGGAAATTCTCAAAAATGAAAACACGATGGTAAACACAGTGCCCACATATAATAAGAGCAATCACGCCCTCAGAGAGAAATGCTTTCCACGGAAATCACTGGAACAACGTCAGCTCATTGTTTTGCAGTTTCACTTCTGTACAGGTATTTGCAAATCAATGGTGGAGTTAAAACTGGAAGAACTGGTGTCTAAATAATTTCTCTAGAACTTATAATGGTCACCTATGACACAACTCGCCGTTGAATCGCCAAAAAAATCACCATAATGACCCGGGAATCTTATCCCGAGTTAGGCCCAATTCACACGTCAGGAATTTAAAATTGTCGGACAAAAACGTGAAAGACCACACGAATTGTGATTAAAAAACAGTCACAGATTTAACAGATTTGGTATTACTGTGTCTGGTGTGCGGAAAAACCGCTAAAATTACACACGAGCTGATTTCAAACACAAGCATTCCCCATTCAAACGGGAAATATCGCCAAACCTCGCCGTTACTTCGGAGTAAACAAACATGGCGGAGAATGAGCATGCAATATGTTTCCACCACCACACTTTCTGATTGGCTACATGTCGTATTCAAATAAGACCATGACAATCCAGCATGTCTGAATCTGCTATAGCAAAGCTGCAAACAAGCTAGGTTTTCAATGCAAACACTCACCTCTCCCCTCGGGTATCTTCTCTGATTCTGCGTTCTTTGAAGCCGGAAACCCGCGTTGATAGAGGAAACGAGATGGCGCTAAACACCAGTCGGCATTTTCTAGGTCCAAACGTCATTTGTTGTCCTTGACTTAAAATGGTGTTTTTCTTTGTGGGACTCTGGTGGTTTGTCCTAAAGTTGAAGTGGTAGCAGCCGGCTGTTTCTCCTTCGGTGACATTATTGAGAGGAAAACCTCTCACACCACACTGTTGCTAAATACGTGAGTGCATAATGAATGAAGGACCCAGGGAAGTGTGGCAGTTCGGCGAGACGAAAACCGGAGGGTCCAATGGTTGCTCTCGAGCCGAGCCGTATTATTGGCGGATGTTTTAGACAAATGCAAGAGAACCACTTTCATCATTTTTTTAAATATCCACAATATATTTACAGCTAAACTATCTTAGAACTTTAAGAGGCATAAAATAAAATGTTTTAAGCTAAATTGTTCTACAAATTTTAAGAGTCCCTGTTTACGATCGGAGTGCTCACAATGTCCTTCTGAGCAGACCAGTGCTCTTAGTGCACCACACACAGCAGGAAAATCTGATCTCATTTATTTATTTATTTTTGAGTCATCACGGTATAATATGTGCACATTTTTAAGATCGTCGGGAGAGAAAATTGGGTCAAAAGTCAGCATAGTCATCGTGCCGTGTGAACCAGACCCTACACAGCATAAGAAAGGTTGAGGGTGATAATGAATGGAGCAGTCACTGAGAGATGATTATACATGTAGCTAATTATCTGCCTTTTTCTGGTTTTGTGTCAAGACACAAGAATTAGTAAACCTGTAGTAGCACGCTTTACGTTCTGAACCTGCCAGGTAGCTTTCCAGTTGGCAGGATGCCAATTCAGATCATTCTAAGACAGTTGTTCTCTCCTGCTTTGTGTCAGCTGCCATCTGTCTACTGAAAAAGCTTCTTGAGCCAGACCCCAGCAAGCGTCCAAATATTCATCAAGTGATGGCCGACTCCTGGCTGCAGCTAGCCAATAGAAACACGGGCGTGCCATTAATCCACAGGTAGCGTCCCTCTCAAAACCCATCAAAGAGTATGTCACCTTTTTCACCATAATTCATAATAGTTCTTTTTTTTTTCATGTGTTAAGAATGCACATCGAGGAAGTAAACCAGACAGTTTTGCGTCACATGACCGAGAAGATGGGCATCAAGCATAGTGAAGCACTGAGTGCCGTTCTCCAAAACCGTGCCTGCCACACTCTGGCCATCTACCACCTTCTCAACAAGAAAGTTAAACGGCTCACTACCCAGTACAGGGTAAGTACACACACTGCAGTAATGACTATATGTGTATGTGTAAAGAAAATCTCGTTAAAGCCCTCTGCACAGTACGTATTCTGCAGGGATCATGAGGTGCTAAATTGTAGCGACACAACCGGTACGTCCCGTTTCCAAATAAGTCTTGTTCACTGTGTGCTAAGGAGTTCAAGAAGAACGAGGATGAAAAGAAGGGTGAAAAGCAGAATATTGGATTCTACCAGACCCAGTGGAGGAAGCACATCGACAAACTCACCATACCCCCAAAACAGACGCCTGTCTACCTGGCTGTTAGCAAGGGCGCCAACAAGGAGAAGAAGCACAAACTAGGTACAGATCCATATAATTCCAAACAAAATACCTTTTTTTTAAACGACGATGAGATTCATTACATTAAATTCAAAAATATTCAGTTTTATTTACTGCATTATTTTGTTTACCTTTATTCATATAGGGTAGGTTGACTGAGCATGCACGTTCTTGTACAACAATGAGCTGTCTCACACACACGTAGTTTCCCTGTCATCCCTTCATTCCTCCATCCAACCAACCACCCACTCATCCATCCACCTGGGAGGAAGCACCCTGGACAACTTGACAGTCAATTGTGGTGCAGAGACACAGTTTATTTTAACCTTAACAGTCTGTTGACAGTCAGATGAAATGCATGAGAGATGATAGCACAGACGTAAGTATACAGTTTGGAACCGCACTGAACTGAATTTGGATTCCTGGCTCAAGAGTTAAGTCTGCCAAGTCACATTCCTTTAAAATGAGCCTAAAACAGACAAGCCCCAGAGGCAATGCTAAAGCTCTTTTCCTTCTTTTGATTTATCGTTGCAAGGTACAGAGAAGGCCTGTAGGCCCTTTTTGATCCAGCAACCCAGGACGGGCTGGTATTCACAGGGTTAAACCTGGGGCAGGTTGTTCTGTACAGCTGCTGTAGCGTGTGGTTGTCAGATTGGTGACATAACGTACAGAAACTCTAAATGCAACTCACGCAGCTAAAAGAAAGAGCACTTCCAGTTCTTTGTTTTTTTTTTTAGTAATTTGTTCTTGCAGAGGCAGTGGGGGAAAAAACGTTTTGAGAAGTAATTAACCAACTTGCATTGTGTCTTTTTCAGGTCTCTTGAAAGCAATAACTGTTGGACATCGTAAATCACCTTTGGCACCACCTGGCACGGTGGCTTCATCATCCATGGAGTATCTAGAAATCCATCCCCTCTTTCCCAACACTCCACAGCAACGGAGACGCTTAGCCACCCTTCCGCCGGTCAACTCAAGTCCAGAACACAACATTCCTGCTCCTCCAGCACCGTCGCCGATCGGCATGCACTCTTTTGGATCCCTAACTAAAGCGGAACAAATTGAAGATACACCATCTTCCCCTTGGTACAAGTTGACCAATGGCACTCTGTCACCACCGCGCCACGTCTCTGCCTTCCAACCAGATTCCTCCTATTTGAAAAAGGCAACAATCCCTAGTCCTCCAGTGCTCATTGTCAACCCACAGCCTAAGAAGAGTATTTCGTCGGATCTGTGTGGTTCTTCTGACACCAGTGGAAGTCCACCAAGTACTATGGGGAGCCCGCCTGGAAGCTCGGCCTTTAGTCCTCCAAAATCTGCCTTCAGTCCACTTAAGCCCACCTCAGCATTCAGCCCCCCCTCCAACAGCAGGAGCGGCGATCCAGAGAGTCCGACACACCGCAGCAAATTCCCCTCTATGGGAATCGGACACATGCTGAAGAAGAAGGTCCAGCTGGAACCATTTGCGTTCAAACCTCAACAGTGTGTAGAAGAAGTTGTGTCCCCCCCTCCATACCCCATGAAAACTCTTCTGTGTGCTTCAGGCGCACTTAAGACCCTCTGCTGAGGGAAGCAAGAAAAAAAAAAGTCGAAGAAAGACTAAACTCAAGACCCCTTTCAACAGTTTTTTGAAGTTGGAGAGGTCTTCCGGAGCGGCCTTTTGAACTGTGAACTAGACCCTTTATTACTGAGCCACTTTTCGTGATAAACTTTTTTACTTTGGAAAAAAAGACAAAAGGGTTGAATTTAACATATTTACCTCTTCTTGTGTCTCATGTTGTTATATAATAAAAGATGGTGGCATTAAGAGGATGAGATCTGAAATGGATCACTGAGCAATGACTAAACCTTGCTGTGTCCTAGATACAGAGTGGACTGGGGACATCGTGTAATATGGGCCTTGTCAACTAATGTAGATGCACATATACGTAAACACACACACCCAAACAAATAAAACACTGTATTATAGACCAAGTTAGAGGTACTCGTGTAGTTTTGCCTCAACTTGTTTCGAATTAAGCAACAAACTGATTCACACCAGCTAACAGGCCCCAACTCACCCTAACCCTGACTGTCTCGTGTAAATGTTTCGTCTTTGTGAAAACTATGACAGCCACTGACTTCCTGCCAGCTTGCACTGTATCCCAAAAGCTGGCTGGGTGGGAAAAAGAAGAAAAAAAAACTCTGCACTACTCTTGAATACCAAAACTCGTAGGAACAACTGTACTGACTGTCCTATACCTCACCGCATTAGTCATGCATAACTATGGTCTAGATCGATGTGCTTGTGTAGATCGCGCCACAGGACTGCAGTGTCTCAGCTTAGACGTTAGAAATGCCACAATACCACGGACATCGGGACCAAGAATAGATTCATATCTTCACTTTTTTTATAAGCTCTCACTGTCACTGATTATCAACTCGTCTAACTTTTTTATACACAATTACAAGTCCTTTACGGCTCACACTGTAGCAGTCTTGGCTCTATATTTTCCGCAGCAGAACATGCCAGTTGACAGTCAGTTTTAAAGATAGAAAGATTAAAAATAGAGGATCAAATGCCTTATGAACCCGATCCACCTCACCCAAAAGGCTGAGGGTGGAATGAGAGGTAACAGAAGTGTGACTAGTGTCAGATAACTTTCTTGAAAATACACTTCTTTCTTGTCTTAACGCTGTCGTTTGTGCAATAGACTAAGTGTTCACTACAACGATGAACATTTGCCAAGAGCGCTCTGAGAGTGACAGGAAAATTGTCCTTGTAAATAGCTTGATGCCTGCTCTCAGTGCGTCTGCCGTTTCTGTACTAACACGAAGTGAGATGGCGTTTTCACAACAAGGCTTCCGCAGACGTTCGAGGCTTTTTACTGTTAAATAATGTAGAATTTCTTCTTGTCCAAACAACGGGTTTGCATGACTCAAGCTGTGCTGTTGACGTTTTTTGAAACGTCTTTGTAACTTTTTGTCGTTTTTGTTTGAATCTGAGATTGATACACACTTTGGGGGGGTGGGGTCTTTTGTAAGATTTTATATTGGATGGATTTTGTTCCGCGTGTCAAGAGATTTTTATGCTGTATAAAGTATTTTAAATATTTATACTGAACTTCTTGTGTCTGTCTGCTCATTCAGAATGTCTGGCGTTTTTCTTGCACGCCGTGAAGGAACTCATGAGCTAAGAATCTAAAATGTGGTAGAAAATAATTCCACTTTAGTTCACTGAATTCAGCAGTTTTGTTCATTCAAGTGCAATTTTCACATAGCCTGAGGTCTATCACTTATCCTTTAATGGTTTCAGCTGCTGGAGGAGTTAATGAGGTTTCGGCTCCTTTGCTATGGGAACATCTATATTACTTTACAACCACTGCGTGCCACTTGTCCCACATGCCACATACATCTCCTACGGGACGTTTGTAGTGTATAAAAAAAACTCACTCCTTTTCAACAGCTGAAGGACTCTCAGCATCGACACATATGATAACCCTACACACACACACACATACACACACACACGTGCAGCAGACACTAATCCACTCAGCTATGGCTCCCCCCCATCCACATTATAAACATCTTTGGGTGACACTGGCATGTTGAGACAAAGACGAAGGTGGGGGGGGGGGGGACAAGTGCCCAGAGCGACACAAACAGAAATGACAGATTAAATCTGTGTGGCTAAGCTGATAAAAGCAGAGGGGCAAGAGTGGCCCTGAAATGCATTAAAGCCAGAGCCTTTTGTTTATCAGAGACAGGCGGACTGTTGGTCAAAATCCCTCCGTGGTCCGGTGTCACAAACAGTCTGTGGACATAAACACCCTGGCTTAACAACATCCCAGAGGATGTAACAGGACATGGCACGATGTACCTGTATGATCGCACACCTGTGTGACGCCATCCTGTTTAATCTGATTAATCACTCTCTATGTAAACTCTGTGTAAGGCTTACAGGTGCTGGCCAGTAAATTAGAATATCATCAAAAGGTTGAAAATATTTCAGTAATTCCATTCAAAACGTGAAACTTGTACATTATATTCATGCAATGCACACAGACCAATGTATTTCCGATGTTTATTACGTTTAATTTTGATATTTATAGGTGACAACCAATGAAAACATCAAATCTGGTATCTCAGAAAATTAGAATATTCTAAAGGCCAATGAAAAAATGTTTGTTTCTCTAATGTTGGCCAACTGAAAAGAATGAACATGAAAAGAATGTGCATGTATAGCACTCAATACTTAGTCGGGGCTCCTTTTGCCTCAATAACTGCAGTAATGCGGCGTGGCATGGACTCGATCAGTCTGTGGCACTGCTCAGGTGTTATGAGAGCCCAGGTTGCTCTGATAGTCGTCTTCAGCTCCTCTGCATTGTTGGGTCTAGCGTATTGCATCCTCCGCTTCACAATACCCCATAGATTTTCTATGGGGTTAAGGTCAGGCGAGTTTGCTGGCCAATCAAGGACAGGGATACCATGGTCCTTGAACCAGGTGCTGGTGGTTTTGGCACTGTGTGCAGGTGCCAAGTCCTGTTGAAAGGTGAAGTCTGCATCCCCATAAAGTTGGTCAGCAGCAGGAAGCATGAAGTGCTCTAAAACTTCCTGGTAGACGGCTGCATTGACCCTGGACCTCAGGAAACAGAGTGGGCCAACACCGGCAGATGACATGGCACCCCACACCATCACTGACGGTGGAAACTTTACACTGGACCTCATGCAACGTGGATTCTGTGCTTCTCCGCTCTTCCTCCAGACTCTGGGTCCTTGATTTCCAAAGGAAATGCAGAACTTGCTTTCATCAGAAAACATAACTTTGGACCACTCAGCATCAGTCCAGTCCTTTTTGTCCTTGGCCCAGGCGAGACGCTTCTTGCGCTGTTTCTTGTTCAAGAGTGGCTTGACACACGGAATGCGACACCTGAATCCCATGTCTTTCATGAGTCTCCTCGTGGTGGTTCTTGAAGCGCTGACTCCAGCTGCAGTCCACTCTTTGTGGATCTCCCCCACATTTTTGAATGGGTTTGTCGTCACAATTCTCTGCAGGGTGCGGTTATCCCTAGAGCTTGTACACTTTTTTCTACCACATTTTTTCCGTCCCTTCGCCTGTCTGTTAATGTGCTTGGACACAGAGCTCTGCGAACAGCCAGCTTCTTTAGCAATCACCTTTTGTGTCTTGCCCTCCTTGTGCAAGGTGTCAATGATTGTCTTTTGGACAGCTGTTAAGTCAGAAGTCTTCCCCATGATTGTGGTGCCTTCAAAACAAGACTGAGGGACCTTTTAAAGGCCTTTGCAGGTGTTTTGAGTAAATCAGCTGATTAGAGTGGCAGCAGGTGTCTTCTATATTCAGCCTTTTCAGAATATTCTAATTTTTTGAGATACCAAATTTGGAGTTTTCATTAGTTGTCACTTATGAATATCAAATTTAAATGTAATGAACATTGGAAATACATTGGTCTGTGTGCATTGCATGAATATAATGTACAAGTTTCACGTTTTGAATGGAATTACTGAAATATTTTCAACCTTTTGATGATATTCTAATTTACTGGCCAGCACCTGTATTCGTTTAAAAATAGGACAGAGTGTAACATATCACAGACGAAAAGCATTAGAAAAATTATTATTGCTGTTAAAACCATTTTTTACTTATTCTCATTTTCAACTCAAATCTTTCTTAAAGAGACACACAAGCATAGGAAACTTTAATATTTAAAATATTAAATTAAAGATATTTTTACAATGACTATATTTAAATATGAAACTGGAAAAATTAGAATATGGTAAAAAATTTTATTTATTTCAGTAATTCAACTTATAAGGTGAAACTAATATATGAGGTAGACTAATTTGCAAAGTCTAATATTAGCCTTTATTTTTGTCAGAATTGTGATGAATTATGGCTTACAGCTCATGAAAACCCTCAAACTCTCAATTAGAATACTGAGAAAAAGTTCAACAGTTTAGGCTCATAGTATGACACTCTAATGAATCCAAAACACGGAAAAAGCGTGAGCCTTTAGATCAGGGGTGCCAAATATGCGGCCCGTGGGCCAGATCAGGCCCGCACACAGTTTAAATCCGGCCTGCGAGATGATTGTGTAAACGTTATTTTCAGACTTTACAATGTAATAAGCTTTCATTTTTCAATTAAACTGCTGGTGAAAGGGATACATTAATTCTCCAGTATCTACTCTGAGTTTCTGATCCTATGTCCAGCCTCATAGTAACTGGACTATGATCTGAGATTGTAATTGGTTCAATTTTGCATTCTTTAATTCTAAATGTGTCTTTCTTAACTGTAAAGAAGTAATCTAATCTTGAGTAGCTTCCATGTACCTGTGAATTGAAAGTAAAATCTTTTTCATTTGGGTGGAGATGGCGCCAGCAATCTATTAGCCCCAGCTCTTCAATCATGCTTGTTAGACTTTTAGATTTTCTGTTTTGTGGTTTCGAAGAGGTAGGTAATTTGTCTAACTTATAATTGACTACGCAATTAAGGTCACCCCCAATAAGAATCAAACCTTTCCCTCTCTCCGCAATTAATTCAGCCATTTTTTCGAAAAATTTTGGGCAATCTTCATTTGGTGCATAAATATTTAGTACCGTTAACTTAACCCCTGCAACTGATCCAACCACCATAACATATCTACCTTTTTTGTCCTCGATTACCTCTTCATTAGAATAATAAACATTTTTATTAAATAATATAGCTACTCCTCTTTTTTTTTCCGTTGCCATATGAGGCACTGTATACTTGATCTACCCACTTTCTTTTTAATTTTTGGTGGTCTGTCTCTGATAAATGCGTTTCCTGTAGCAGAGCTATAGAGCATTGCATTTTTTTTAACTGGCCCAGGATCTTCTGCCTTTTAATTGGATTGTTGATCCCCTTTATATTATATGTAACTACTTTTAAGTAGTTCATTGCTATTTTGTTTAAGAAATTTATTACCTTTTGATTGCATGCAAACACAAATAACAACAAATAAACAAAAATCTAACTTCACATACACATACATATTATAATAAAGTTTAAACCTACTTGTCAGTACAACATCTTCCTTATAAATCTGAGCTTCCAAATTACTAGCCTGTCGCAGAACAGGAACTAACAGATAAGCATGTAAGAGAGGAAGTGAGATCAGCCCTAATAGAATATTTTGACATAAATGATAATGGGGAGGTTTCACCAACAGTGCTATGGGATGCAGGAAAGGCTACAATAAGAGGTAAACTCATCTCTATAGGTTCTGGAATCAAGAGAGAAAGGGAGAGAAAACGGATAGAATTAGAGACAGAAATAAAAAAGTTGGAAAAGGAGCATAAACAAAATGGACAACAGGAAACACTGGATAACTTGAAAGATATAAGAGCTCAGCTTGACGGTCTACTAACGTATAAGGCAGAAGGAGCCCTAAGATTTATAAAAAGAAAATATTATGAAATGGGGAATAAAGCAAGTAAACTTCTATCTTTTCAGCTGAGAAAAACCCAAGCCAGCCGTATAATACCTAAAATTAATTCAATAAATATGAATAAGGTAGAAATGACCCCAAAAGGGATTTCAGAGGCCTTTGCAGAATATTATCATAAATTATATACAGGCCAAGCTTCGGCCTTTAAATTAGACGGGATAAAAGATTTCTATAAAACTCTTAAGTTGGATAGATTGTCAGAAGAAGAAAGTGTCAGTTTAACAGAACCAATAAAAGAGACTGAAGTTAGAAATGGTATTAATAAACTTAAAAATAATAGCTCGCCAGGCACGGATGGCTTTGCAGGGGAATACTATAAAACCTTTATTACCGAGCTTACCCCTATATTATGTAAACTATATAATTATGTATTAGACTCAGGGAATCCTCCCGATTCATGGAAAGAAGCGATTATTACAGTTCTGCACAAGGAAGGGAAAGACCCTCTCCAATGCCCCAGCTATCGCCCTATAAGCCTGCTCTGTGTAGACTATAAAATACTGACATCAATACTAGCATCTAGAATACAGATACATATAAAGAAATTAATTAAACCAGATCAGACAGGTTTTATTCTAGGACGTCAAGGCACAAATAATGTGAGGAGAGCTTTAAACCTACAGTCAATAATGAAGAA